TATTGCAATTCTTAAAATGGTCTTTCCTTTTCCCATTTTTAATTCTGTGAAGTGAATTGAAACAAACAAACATGACCACTAAAGTGACTGACTGTACAGAACTGGGATAGAAGCAGTTTGGAGAGTTGAAAGCTTTAATTATATTAGAGATGCCTGCTTGGTTCTTCAGGCAGTCACTGATTTTGGGGGGTTAGTTTCCGTTTGCATGTATCTGCAGATAAAATGCATGATGTTGTCATGAGTTCACTGTTCCTCTGTTTATAAAAGTGGGAGAGTAGGTAAGATTCTTATTTGTGTTTTATGTTGGGATGCAGTAGATAAGGGGCACAATTAACATTTTATAAGAAGTGACTTCAGAGCAGACATAAATTTTTAATATGTCATATTTTTCAGCTGTTGGGCTGTAGTAACCTTCTGTTTAGACACAATTCATTTGGAGTGGGAATGCGCAAGTAAAGGGATTCAATTTAGTTGGCATTCTCTAATGATGAAACTGATGGATGCCTTTAAAATGAGTAAACTTTTAAATACACTGGCCTGTACATAAAGTATTAATACGTAAAGGCTTCCAGTAGAAAGACTAGTGTCAAAGCTTAATTTCTGGAGTGATGTACACATGAATAACACATTCAGTAAAAACTCATGAGCCATCTATGAGAGTTATTGCAAATCTTAAAAACCCCCAAAACGCCAGCTAAAACAAACATCATCTTAGCAACAGTATTTGCATAAAATAAATCAGGAAAGAAAAGGTTGTACGTACTTAAAAGCGCTAGAGGGAGCTAGGGGGAAGAAGAGGGGAAAATAATCGTTGAGGACATGTTTGCATTTTTAGGAGTAGCTTATATAAAGCATCCATTTAAATCCTTCCGCTCACCAGCTAAAATCAGTTACAGGTCAGCCACTGCATTTGCTGCTCTCTGTTTTCCACACTTCACTGAAGAAATTTCAATTTTCTAGTCCCAGGAGAGGCTGGAGGCTTTGCTGCCGTTTAAATTGCTGTAGGGAAAACCACCTACCCTTCTGTAGACTGTGCCCCTTTTATTTCTTTATTTTGTATTTGGATGAACAGCCAAATGTCAATTTGCCTTCTGGTGCCAGTGGCTGTTTTGGAGGGGCTGATATACTGGGTCAATTCAAAGCTTGTCTCCCTCCGAGATTGTATGGAGGAGAGTGAGAGAAAGTGTGAGTGTTGATATATGTCCGTATTTGGGATCTACTTGATGAAGAAGAATTTATTTTCATTAATGTGAAGTGGCCACGTTGCTTTTGCAGGGATCTGAAGAAAATTATTTTCTGTGAACTTGCAGAATAACACAGAAGTACGAAGTTACTGTAAKGCATCTCATTGTGTTTGGTTTTAGAAGTGTTGTTGGGCACTTTTTATATTGCCTTGTCATAAGGCTAAATGCTTCGAGTTAAAGTGTAACAGCTTTATGATGTAGCTTATAAATTACTTGTTTTCTGTTCCCCTCCACGCCAATGAACTGGCAAAATGCTGGTAACTTGGGATTTGTAAGAATAGGATGAAACCCTGTGGGGGATGTTCTTTAGTTTTCAGGTCTTGGAGGGTGGGGGAATCTTTTTAGTATTCTAAAGCTTCTCCTCTTGATGTTCAGCATTACACAACTAAACCTGTTGCTGTGGAGAACTGAATTTTGATGGCCTGGGGCACTGAGCAATTTGGGGGGAAGGAAAGATGTTGTTGTTATTATTAGAGGCTGCTTAGGGCTTTGGAATGCTGGAAGTAATCTCAGAGGAGGTAGACAGGCTGGAAGTGGATGATTAAATAAGCAGAATTAATATATATACACTGTGTATTTATCATCTGCTGCTGTAATTTATTGTGATTTCACTCATTGTCGAAGTTTCCTAATTTCTCTTTTCCACATTAGAAAATAAATGGAAAGGGTAGGAAAAATCAACTGGAGTTTTCTTCCTTAGGTCTTTATTAGATGGAATGATTTTAAGTTACGAAAGCAAGGAYGAACATTTCTCAAAAATACTTTAACCATGCCTTAGCCCGAGGACTCTGCTCCCTTTAAAGGAAGCAAATATAATGAAATTTAAATATGTGGAAGGAAGCTAGAGTGCTTTAGCAGTGTAGAAATTTTTTTTTTCACTGTACTTTGAGGCTATGAAGACTTTTTGTCTATTTATAATTCCATCATTCTAGATTTGAAATGTCTACAATTTAAGAATTGCAGAAAACATTTTTTTTGGGAAATATTTAATAACCTCTCAGCAACAAAAATTCTCCAGCAAATAGATAAGAGCACCAAGTAATTATGGCTTAATTCTTGTTGAAAGGTTCAGGACCTTTTCCTGTCATCAGAGAATTAACTCCACTAAAGATGAAACAGAGTATTGGAATAGCAGAGAATGTTTTCTTCCCCTGCCCCTTTAGCTACCCTGTTTTGCACTGTTTGTTCTGCTGCAGAACCCACCTTCTGAGTAAGGTGGGTTTCTTCTCCTGGTGTGTGGATGGCTCCTATTAAAGCTTTAAAATATCTCCTCAGGTAGAAGATGGGAAAAGTTAAGCTGTAATTGAGTGCATATTCAGTTTATTCCTCTGAATCAGTAAAATAAGCATATTTAGTCTGAAACAGAGGATAGTTATTTGGTAGATAAATCTCTTATACTTCCCAAGAGCCAGGATAATCAGAATGGTATATGAATGTTTTACAGAGCTCGATGATACAGAGATTATCCCCAGTGGGGCCCCTTAATGTGCAACAAAAGCAGCTTTTTTTGGTGATATTGCAATCTCTTTTTGTGATAGTTCAATTTCAGGGTAACACCGACTGCTGCTGAACTCTGTGGTACAATGAAAAGATGAGGTTTTGCCTGTTGAAATGGTAGTGGATTCAGAATAGAAAAGATACAATTTTTCTTGGGAAAGGTAGAGGTAGAGGAAAAAGTTGAGGAAAAGAGTTATTATCTTAAAAACACACAGTGGAAGTGTGATGTACTTAGTCTGTTGTGTTGCCTCAGGAAAAGCCAGTACCTTCGGTGGCTGCCCAAGGGCACAGTGTTTATCATTGGACTTTCACTGTGACGTTTACCCAAAGGTATCCGATAAAACAGAAGGGGCCAATGCCAGAGTGGGTGTAAGCACCCACTCTGGCAAAGCCCAGCAAAGCCCAGCACCCTCTCCCTCTCCCCACTGAGCTGGGACAGAGCAGAGCACCCAGGAAAAGGAGCCTAGTGCCAGTTTTTCTCCACGAGTCCTTCATGCCACGAAACATCTGTGCAAGTTGTTCACGTGCCTGCTGAGCTTCCTGGAGAAGGAGGCCAGCTTGAAGGGCAGCTCATCTTGTTCAGAGCTTAATGAGCACAGGGTCTCTCACTGAGGTCTCTCTGGAAACGGCCTAGAGAGGAAACCTGGCCAGCAGAGGTTGATGTGAAGCCTTTAATTCAGTGCTGGAAGAATATTTCACGAGGGGTTTGGAGCAGTTATTGCCACTTGGTGTCACTTGTTGCAGTGCTCTGTGGTGCAGTAGGAACACCCCTAAATAATGCCTGTTCTCAGTGCTGTTCAGGGCGGTCCAAAAACGCGGTGCTGCAATATCCTGATGATCTGTTAGGTAAAGTGTGAGCACAAAGGCAACAGATAAGTAAAGAGTACAAACCTGAAGTTGGCTTGGTACAAAGTGTGCAAAGGCAGGAGCAAATGCAGGGAGTTTAAGGGAGCAGGGCTGGCTTCTGCTTCTCTGAGCCCAGGAGAGACAGGCAATTGGCTCTTCAAAGTGAGGTTTTGGGGTACTCCTGTGTGCTTCAGTTCAGAGCTGGCACTGCGAGCAAAGGATGGTCGCCATTTAAAAGGTATCTGTTTCATCTGTATTCCTCAGAAATGAGGTTTTTCATGCTTTTTCTGACTGCCTTTAATGTAGGGCTACAAATGGCTACTGCAGGTGAGCCCTAAATCAAGATCTGATGCAACTGTAGTGCTGCTAAGTGTAAGATCAGCTCCCCAGGCAAATGTAGCATACCAAATTATTTTTAATAATGTAGGACTTTGGCTAGGCTATGCCCTGAGGAAGAAGGGATGGGAGGTAAAGTCTTTCCCCTAAACTGGTGAGCTTGGCAGAAAGACATGCTGGGCATTCATCCCTGCTGGGACTCAGCCAAGATCCAGATGAGGATACATTTTAAATCCCACCTTGCAATGCCCATGGTAAAGCATCCTTCTCTCCCTGCTTTCAATTCCTGTTAGCTGGGGGCAGAGGGGACAGCATTTGCCATTCCCTTTGGGAATGTGTGGCACTTGCCAAACAATTGTTGCTGAGAGGGAAAAGTGAAGCACTAAAAAAAAYCCTTTAATTACATTTTGCTGTATGTATGTGCTTGATAATAGCTGATAATACCAGTTTCACAATACTTTATGATATATTCCCCATCACATTAGCCTTTGAAAAAATACTTTGGGTGAATGTTTTTCTTCATCAGGGTTTAAATTTTGCTCAGAGTATACGGCAGGCCTTTTTTTATTTTTTTTTTAATTTTTTTTTTAATTTTTTTTAATACCTTCAAGTATATTGTGGAAAAGTATTTTGATCTTTGTGTAATAATGTATAGTCAGGCAGGATGGAGCTTAACTTCAGCTTTTCTGAACAGGACTTTGCTGAAAGATGTGGTGCGTGAGCATGTTGATTTTATTATTATCTTGTAACAACAACCCGCTGTTGGGCTCCCTTATTTGCATTCCTAGCAGGACGGCAAGGTGAATAATTTAATTCCAGCAGCCTCCGCCACGTGATGGTGCGAGGACCCGTCAGCGATGCCTCCCCCTGAACCGACAGACTTTGGAGGGGAATGGAAACTTACAGAAGTGATGCGAAATCGTCGCATGTCCTCCTTTAACCCTGGGGAAATCTCTCGGCGGAGCGATCTCTTCATCCTTTGCTTTTCCACGCGTTCCTCTGACGTGGAGTCTGGGGTGTGTGTGTGTGTGAGCCTGTGAGCAAGACGAGTGAGGGAGTGGGAAGCGGGGAGGGCAGTGGGGGAAAAACGCACACCCAGGCACGGAGCTCGTCGGAGCAGGAACAGCGAGGAGCCGGGAGTGCAGCCGCAGGCAGCGGGGAGTGGAAATTTACAGCTGCTTGTGAGCGCCTGTGCATGTCCAAGTGATCCTTTTTGCTCACGCTTTTCCAGAGGCTGACGGTCGCTCGGCAGGAGAAGAGCGGAGGCCAAATCGCGGGATTCCTGGCCTCTGCCGCTTATCGGTGATCGGCGGGGGAGAATAAAGCGGAATTAAATGGAAGATCATTGAAGTCGGCTGCTGGCGGCGTGAGCTGCGGGGAGGCGGCAGAGCTGTCTTCAGCACCTGGCCATGGGGCTGCGCTGGGCTGCCTAGGAGCCCCCACCTTTCCGCTCACAGTAAGTGTCAGCCGAGGTGATGTCTTCCGAGTGACGGAAAGTTGAGTGATTTAATGAAACTTCCATTTTTTTCCAGTTAGCACCAGCCTTTTTGGAATAAACCGCTTGTCTGCACGTTGTCGATAGTTACACCGGTAGCTTTTTGTAGCTTTGTAAACTGTGTTACCAGGAGTGGCTCTTTAATGCAGGCAACCCTAAACAATACTCCTCCTGTTACATAAGGCGCTGGCTCTGCGACCAAGCACTCCGTGTCCATGGAATATCTCTGGAAATGGCTTTATTTACAGTGTGGTTTCCAAAAATAAAATATCTGCAATATATCATTTCTCTTGCTCCTCTCCGCGGGCTGCCTGCAGCTGCGGACTGGCTCTTGGGATGCGGAGGAATGAGAGGGTGGCCACTTGCATAAGCCAGGGGGAACGGAGATGAAGGGAAGATGAGCGTGCGTGTGAGCTGCCACAAGGAACAGCGTATGTAAAATAACCATCTCCTCATTTGCAGCCGATAGGTCTTGTCCTCTTGCAATGCTGATTCTGTGCGACGGGCGATTCGTGAAGTCTTTGTCAGGCAGAACTTTAAGTGAGCTTAAGGGAAGTTGGGRTTTTTCTTGAAAGCAAAGGCTTTTTCTTGGGTTAATATTAGTAGTAAAGTGGAAATTACTACTGTGGAAAATTATTTTAATCTGTTACGAAGCTATGGAAAGTAACACAGCAGACCTGCTAAGAGCTCAGTGAATGCCTAATGGAGAGRTAAGTTTAGACCAAATTGGACCAAATGCAAAAACAGTATTCATGTTCCTCACTAATGGGTTTAGGGGAAGTCCTATTCCCTCTTGGCTGCTGCCTGTGTTATTTCAATTATGTTACCAGTTTCCATTATTTCTACTGTTCCTATTCCTACTAGAAATGGATACTTAACTTGGTTTCCCCTTTACTTAAGTAAGTGAAAAGCTGTTAAGGGCTCATCTGTTAGAATCGTGTGTACTTCGGAGACATTAGTTAAGTGAGCTCTTTCTGCATGACTGAGTTTGTGGGAGTTTTGCTATGGACTACAGTAAGGCATGGAATTGAATTCTTAATTTTCAAAGTTCGAAAGACCTCTGTGCTAGCAAATGCATATTGGGATCCCAAATATCCTTGACTTATCAGTCCTGCAAATCTGGTGGCTGTAAAACCTCTGGTTTTGTATTTTTCTGGTTTTATTGAACACAATGTAATGACCTACCACTTCTAGCTAGTGCATTAGCATGACTGGGAGAGCCTGTGYGATCCTTCTGTGATGTGGAGATAATTGATACTGGTGTGGTGCCACAGGATGCCACTTCTGAATGGGTTTAGAGCCTGAATGTTACCTGGCATTACAGTGGGCAAATGCTGCTTCGTAACAAGTATTTTGTACTTCTACTACTACTACTACTACTACTACTACTACTAAATGTGGAAGCACAGGACTTCCAACAGAAGACACAAGATAGCAAAGTCAAACAGCTAAAATTCTCATAACTTTAATTCTGTACTCTATACCCTACTCAGGATAGATTTAAATTGGATATTTAAAATAAATTTTKTATGGTGAGGGTGATGAGATACTGGCACGGTTTCCAGAGAAGTTGTGAATGCCCATCCCTGGAAGTGTTCAAAGCCAGGCTGGATAGGGCTCTGAGCAGCCTGGTCTAGTGGAAGGTTGCCCTGCCCAGGGCAGGGGAGCTGGAACTAGATGATCTTTCTGGTTCCTTCCAACCCAAAGTATTCTATGATGAGTACTTTTATTACCACTCATTTATATCCCTTTTATGATCATCACCACCTTATTATGGGTTTGGTTGGTGAATATCTGAGCTGTAGCATCTGCTCCAGTAGCCCTCTCTCTGTACCCTCCTTCCATCCCCTTCTCCCCCTCTTGTGCTGGTACAGTTCTAGACTGTGGGCAAAACTGGACTGGAAACCTGTGTGACCTTTTTTTCCCCACCAGTCTATTTTTGTTAACCTGGGTCACTTCCCTGACCTGGCTCACCATGTGGCGCTGCAACAGGTGTATGGCTCCTGCAGAGGCTGTAGAGATGTGAATATGTATGGAGCAGAGTATCACCATCACAGAACAAAGCATTTATCAAACTGTCACCTCGGTGACCAGATTGCTTTTTGGTGTTTCATTTTATCCTCTCTTTTTGTTAAAAGACTATGTATGGGTTTGTGTTTGGTTTTTTTTTAATTTTTTTTTATTTTTTTAAAAAATTAAATTGGCATTAAAGCACTCAATTTAAAAGAGTTAATAATTTCTTTGAGTGCTTCCATAGAGGTACACCAAAGCACTTGAGCGGAGCACTTGAGCACCAGAGTGCCTTCAGTTTCAAAAGAGTATTGATCAACTGTGTGATATTATTCTCATTCTGTAGAGGCGATCAGATTTAGGGCAGAACTGCCTACTTCTTTTCCATGTCTGATCTTCAGGATGCTTGCCATCTGCCAAAAAAAAGACATTTGTGTTTAGGTGAAGTTTCAGTTAATATCCATTTTCATTTCAGGTAATGCAAGAAGTAGCCAACATCAAAGCTTATGATGAGTAAATTCTTGGGGTTTTTGGAATGATTTTGTTGCCAAGCAGAGGTGGTATTCATTCTTCTTTTCCATAAAACTGTTCTGTCTTCTGTTAATCTTTTGTCTGATTTGCAATGCACCTTCTAAAATCTGCAACTCGCTGAGAATTTGCAGAGAAGTTGTTTGTTCCATAGMCCTGATTCCTTCTGTGTATCAAATAAAATGTGGGTGGTGTGAGGGGACTGCACTGGGGAGGACAAGCTGGGCTCCTCCGGGGGCTCATCACACATGGGGGCTTCCATCTCCTGGTTTGAATACATCACAACTTCCCCAAATACGACAGGAGGGAGAAATTAAATATCTTCCATTATCTAGAGACTGAATTTGACAAATAATGAAGAAAGTGTGCTAACTCAAGACCCAAGTATATGGATCATAGGCAAGTTGCAATAAATGGGAAATGAAGGTAATTTTTGCCATTCCAGAAACTCTCACATGATATGCATTATTGAAATTTTTTGATTTTGATCATTAACGTGAAGGCTGGGAGCTAATGCAAGACAAATGTGTGATACTCAGTGGGAAGGAAATTTTTTTTCTCATTTGTTTTTGAAGACCAAATGTTTTGTCTGGAGAAGCATCTGCGAGGAGTGCATGGATGGGCTCACATGCTCTCTTCCATTCTTGTTTTCGTGGGCAGGAAGAAGCCTTTGTTACTRAGCTGCTTTACTGAGTCACTTCATAGTGGGATGGGCTGCTTAGCARAGTGGTGTTGCTCTGTGTGTTTTTCCTTCATCGTGCTTATAAGTTCAGTTCACTATAATCTTTTGAGGTTGTATATGATTAAAAGCAAAGAAGTGGTGGAGAGTGCCTATAATCACAACTAGATCTCTTTCTGTACTTTATAGCTGTGTTAATTTTTTTCTTAGTACATTCTCTTTATGAGCAGATAAACTAGGAGGAGACATTTTGAAGCCTGATAAATTGTAGGCTTTGTTGTCGGATGATCTAGGTTGCATTCCTGACTCAGCCACTGACTTTTTAAATGGCCTTGGGTAAGTCTTGTAATCTCTCTGTGTTTCAGCTTCCCCCTTTGTAGAGGGCACAGAATAAAAATAGATAGATAGGTCCTTTGAAATTGTGTTTTCCATCTTGGTTAAATGTGTATAGAGTTGGAGACCTCTGAGAGACAGTATGCCCTGAATGTGAAGGGAAGTTAACTCTGACAGATTACTGAATACCCTAAATGTAAATGTCTTGTAAATTTTCTCTGGATTCAATTTGCTGCTTTAGTCTACGTGATCTTTTTATTTTTTTTCCTGACTCGAACAGAAATAGCCCAACATTTAGAAAGGGGTTCTTTAATATTGCCTTTTGGTGTTTTCTGTGGCTTACCTAATGTAAAATCAGTGTCATTTTTTTTCTCCCAAGGAAAGGTGGAATGATATTCCCTGAAAGTATTGTTGTAAAAGTAGAGTTCCTAAAATGTGCTGGACACTCTAGCTCTGGTTGGAATGGAACATGCCATTCCGTGTTCACCCTATGGAAACAGCAGGCTTAGGAAACTTCAGTTCCTCCTACAGCGCTGCCGAGGCATTTTCCTCATGACTGGGAGAGACAACCTCTGAGACCAGGAGAGTTGGGCTGGTGAGATACAGCTGTTTCTTTCCTTGGTCTCATAAGCTCCTCTCAAGAGCACCAATGAAATAACATCATTAAAACTAAATGTTTCACATGTTGGCTGGTTCTCCATTATGAATTCAGGAGTGTCCACAATCTATCTTGATGTTATGAAAAAATATGTTGAATAACCATTAGATAGAAAAAGTTTTCCTAGAAAGTAGGAAAGAAAGGGGTTCATTCAGTCCTGAACCTTACCGCCAGACATCAGTGTCAAAAATTTATGGACAGATGCTCTCTACTGTGCCTGGTAGAGTAGGTAATTTCAAAATCTCAAAGCTCCAGTGGGTGGAAACCTTTACATTTTCAGCTGAAGTTTATCCATCAGCAGTTTATAGCCATTTGCTTCTGCATAAATGAAGTGTTATTTCATTTAAGCTGCAATAACTTTTTCAGCTTTCCTATATTTTTATTCTAGATTTATGAAGGTGATCACTTTTAACCTCCAAGACTTGCTGGTCTTCCCATTTTTCTGGCCATCCAGTGTGCTTCTTTCCACCCCTTCTAACCTCTGTTGGTTTTAGTCAACTGTGGGTGTTCATTGTTCCGTACAAAGGTCTATCAAGACTTTATACAAAGACATAAATACCTTTGGATTTCTCCTGACCATTATTTTTGTGGTTCATCACAGATTTGCATCTGTCTTTCTCACATCTATAAAATACATGTGTGTTTGTGTATGTGACCATCTRCCTATTTTTATCTTTTCTCATGGTAAGTCCTCTGCTTGAACAGATGTTCATAGAATGATTTGAGTTGGAAGGAACTTTTAAAGGTCATCTAGTCCAATTTCCCCTATCATGGATGTCTTCAACTAGATCAGGCTGCCCAGAGTTCTGTCCAATCTGATCTTGAGTGTTCCTATCTACAAACTGTGTCTTGTCTGCCATTCAGCATTATCTGATACTTGGTGCTCTTAACTTTTATCCCATTTTCATTATCTTGGTTCCTGACGCTATCCAGTTTCCCAGGTAGCAATATTCCAGTCCTCTTATGTGTTGATAATATATTTCTATTTTGAGTAACCACAATTTTTGGGTAGAGTCTTAATTCCTCTCCTTCTCTAAAATGATCCTGTCCGCAAATTGCTCTTACCTTCTCAGTCAGATGACACAATTATTTTCTTTTAACTTTTTTTTTTTTTTTTTTTTT